CCTACAACCATATTCTGGTGGCAATATCTGGCAGTTGGTACTCTTGCTGATATGCTGAATATATAAATGACCCAAGATGCATGCTCTAATTCAACATGGACTGGTTGTACCCTGACAAGTAGTTTACTTTACATATTCTTATTTTTCGTTGGTTTCTGTCTTTATTAATTGCGCCTACTTCATATTTATTAGTGAGTTGTGAATAAATAGTTTGCCACTCTGATGGAACTCCGAAGAAAACAACTTTTTTTCTTATCTTGCTGTTTGTATACTGTAAAATACATTTATAATTGTTAAAAGTACAAACAGCGCAAGATTAAATTCATAGCTTTTTATCTGCTTGCATCGTTCTTTCATTATTTCTTTGCACATTTTACGTAATTAAATTATAAAGTCACGCATAACTCATTTCAAACATTGATGTCTTTGTAGCTGAATACTTTCCAGTTTGATTATACTGTACTATGTGAACAACGATTTAGAAGTATTATCCTTTGTTCCTTGTCAAAAGATGGGCTCTACGAATGGTATCTGGCCACCCCTATAGATGGAACTGCAAGCCAATACTTTGTGCTGGCTTGTGATGATTTATCATGTCTCCAGAATGTTTGTATAGACGTCCTCCGACCATTAGTGAGGTTCCAGTCTTCTTGTTTTCACATTTGATTGTTTTATTTGTATCTGTCTCTTTCATGCACATAACGCCTCTTACCTCGTGCGTTAGAATCATAAAGACAAATGAATCGTCATTTATTTCGGGAATGAGACTTCTTGCATGTTCGGATTGTTAGTTGAACCACTGTTGTTTGAGCAATTTAATTTCATTGAGCCGGGAATTAAGTAAAAAGATAACGGAGAAAATTACTTGGCGGTAACTACTCAATGTGCACTCTTCGTATGGAATTATTAAGATGGTTATATAGAGAAATCTGAGCTAAATAACATACCCCCTAGTCATTTTAGGTAAAGAGTAAAGTTATAAAGCTACTCATTACATGACTATCACAACCTTCATACCAGCATTCTTTAATATTAAGTAAAATTTGAGGTTTTCACGGCGGTGAATACGAAGATGGCATTCTTCTGGGTTGTAGTATCATGTAGTCTGACGATGAAGATGAAAGCAGCAGGGACCTCTGATTCGTTGGCATACTTCTGCCAGACTACGCGGTGCTAGAACCCAGAAGACAACCGTCTTAATTAATATTGTTATTTTTTTTAGACGTATTGTTCGTATGAAACAACATTTACGTTTTGTTCAGCTTTCCTTTAACTAATTCAGTTAGAAGCTGAAGAAAATATGTCAGAAACCGTTTTTAGTATGAGCTGGTGTAGTTGTCAGTAGAACTGCTGGATTCTGAATGGATGATTGCATTACGTCACCACCGCTGTGTTGTGGCCGTACCTGTTCTGCGTCTACAGCCAATCTTCTAGCCCGTAGCTTCCGGATGCTCTTTCCCAGGGGATAAATCTGCCGGAGCATGAATGTAATCACGAACCTCCATTCCACCCACACACAACGAGAAATTTTACTCTACGTCTTACGAAGTTAAGTACCGAAATGCAGGATGTTTTTATGCAGTTTCGTGCCTTATCACGATGCTCAATTCACGTTACGAAACAAAAACGTATCAATTAAAAGAGTGTCACTTTACAAGGTTTAATGGAAAACTTTGTCATTATTCCCACATATTAGTTTGTTAGTGGTGAAATGAATATTTTGTACTTTTAGATGAGTGTATATTTACGATTCTCTCAGCTTCTTATAATTTGTTCAAGAATTCGTAATGAACAAGACTTGAGATCGGTTTGGGAGCAGTTAGCAGTGATTTTCTATGGATTTGTAAGACAATACAGCCTTGCAGAAGCAATAACGATATTCCCCAGCTCCTGTCTATTCATAAAATTCTGTGTACATTAATACGAAAATGTGAAGTGCTGAGAACAAAGTTATCCGCTTTCCAAGTTTCTCCATTTTCACTGTGCAGGGAAGTTAAAAGAATAGTATGGTTTTGTGTGTGAGAGAGAGCAGAAAACTCAGTCACATGATCGAATATTTTAGTTAATGGCGGGTTACTGAAATCGTGTTAACACCAAAGTTATGGTTTCAGAAGTCGAGAGTGGGTTCATACATAATTCATGCGCCATCTTTTTTATATTATCGTTAATAAATACATAAATTTGTTCTCTCTCTTCGCTTAGGAAAATAAAGAAGTGAACATGAATTTAGTAATTTAATTTTTAACTCCCAACGTAATTGATAGATAACAAAGAAACTTTTAGAAATTGTAAACTTTCAAGTAATTGGGTTATTTTTGAGTCAGAGCTAGAGCAAAGTACGCTTTTGTTATGGAGTAAAAGCTTGGAACACTACAATCCAGTAACTGGTATGCCCAGTTAATGTGCTCAGTCAGTGAAGCGACTGGCCACGAACTGGATAATAGGGGTTTGATTCTTGGCAGCGGTAGGGACTTCTCTGTTTATCATTTCAACTTTCCGAGGTTGGTGTTCTGGGTAGTAACTCCTTGTGGACTTGTAGGTAGATATAAACGTTTCGGAAAAACATTCTGTCTTCATGTTCATGGCGTTTTTTTTTTATATTTTCTCATGTGTCACATATATTTTTCAAAATCAGGAGGCCTGTTATTGGCAAATAATAATTCAGTCGTGTTACTTTGTCACTTGATAACTTGTCCTCACTTATGTAGAATTTTGTACATATTAAGGTTAAGGTTAAGGTTGCTATTGCATTTGTATTTAATGACCGCGAGCTCATTTTAAAATTAATTTCTTAATCCGTCTGTGCTGACATGACGTTCGCGTTCTCTCACCATTCATGCTCTAAGGCTAATGGGACAATCCTATTCCATCAGAGGTCCACTGGTCTGACATCGATCGGCTATTAGAGAGCTTTAGCATCGAGTATGTAGTAACGGTTTCACGGCCATGAAATATGTTCCAAAACGCGTGATTAAGCACGTCTGTGTTTCATGTAGACATCAGCACCTCTACCTTTAACTTCTTCCTAGGCAGAGCAGCCACCTCTATTCTTCAGTCATCAAACTAATCGGCTCATTTTAAATGACGTCACGATTTTAAGATTTGTTACGTGGACATGATAAATTGATGATGATGTGGAGGGGAAGTCCCTCATTCAGACAGTTACATTGTTGCTGAAGAAGAGGCTATTAGTTCTACAGATTTAAAAATTTGTTAGGAGCTCGTAATGGGCATGACATCGGAATATGTCCCTGCCCAATCTGTTTATAAAGAATGTGAAATGTTTTCAAGTGTTCTGTAAAGATTCAAAATGACTAGCACTTAAGAAAATGTTCGTGCGTCATATCTCATTTTAGACCAATTTGCATCCCTGCACAGCGCGTATTAAAATACTCCGTTCATTCGTCCGTCCGTCTGCCTGCCTGTACGCAAGAAACAACTAGATTTTTCATGAAATGCGATTTTGGAGGTAATTTTACTAATATTTAGCGATAGGTTACGTATTTGATTAAAATCTGACAGCAACAACAGGTACTTTGTGTGACCTGCATATGTTACTGAGCACCAAGTTACTACCTTGGTTAACATGATTGCTTTGGTTACCTCGTTAAATGCGAAAGGTAAAATTCTGCCGAACGCGCCAGAATTGTTACGGTGTTCACATATTTCATAACTTTTTTGATTATCCACGTAGCAATAGGAAGGCTTTAGGTTAAAGTATCAACTTCTAATATTCTAAAAGGTGGGTTCATGCGTACTGCCTTCATCATTAGGACGATGAGGAACTACACAATAACCCATGGCTGTCTTCATATTTATTTAGTTATACTTTTGGTTTATTTGTCAAAGTAATTACAGCTTGCTGTTTTTGGCTGTTTGTCTTTAGCTTTACTGAGCTCGCCTTTTTGTAAGTCTTTTCACCGCGGTTTCAAATTAAGTATATTTTTTTTCATATTTGCATTTTCGCAGTCGAATATGCAAAGTCTTAGAAACAAAAGATCTGCAGTATGAAATTCACATCACCTTTGCCACAGAATATTGCTCTACGCAATGGCGGACAAAGTTCATGAATATTCAGGAACATGGACAGTAAGTCTGCAAACACTAGAACTTCCTACTATCGCGCTTGTTTTGTTTCAGCCATTGGTGTGTAACGCGTGGCCCGAGGTCAGAATGCTGATGAAATTTTCCGAAGTAAGCTAACAGGAATTAATTTGCTGTTCCTCGTACGTCTCTAATATATTGACTCGAACACTGTTCTGTTTGATACCAGGGACCTCCACTCGAAAGGCCAGTTTTTGTGTTGTGTGGCACATGTTTAAAATAAATTTACTAACTAAGAAATAAATAAAAGTCATCGAGTGGCTTCTTCCTGGGCGGTTAGTAGCTATTCTGCCGATCGTAGTTCCCCTCCTCTGTGAAACATGGAGTTCATCGCCATGGTATTAGTATCGTGCCACTGGACCCTGCTCTGATAAGAACAAAATTAATCTTGAGCAAGTTTCAAACCGTTGACCTTAACGTGGAAGCAAAACGTGTCATGATCTGTAACCTGTTGGGTTAGGGCATTAATTGCTTTTAAATGTCTCGTCTTATCGTAAGTTTTGTATTACAACGAATTCGAAATTTATTCCTATTAAAATTCCTTGTGTGTTCTTGGTGGCTGCGGGCTACATATCTCTTTGGACATATAAGCACGAAAATATATTATGGTTTGTACAAGACCAGGAAAAAAAAATACTTTTCAGTAAATTTCTTGTGCTGTTTTTTTGCAATGAAATATTTTTCTTTGCCAATATCATTACGTCATATTTTACCCGAGGTCCTTAGAGCTCCTTTTATGGCTTTGCCTCCAGCTGTAATGCAACCCGAGGGTCAACCTTGCCACCCACCTCCATCTAGCATCGAGTCTTAGAATGTGTGGAGCTCTACCTCCGAGCCTCCTGTCATTTACAATTAATATTGGCACTTGTAACTAAGAATCTGTTTCCCCGTTGCAGGAAAGTCTGTCGGAACTGCAAGTGTCCTCGTGAGGATCACAGTGGCGGAATGGCGG